ATAAAATTTGGAAGACAGATAGGTTGAATAAAACCACATTAAATACCTCAACATTCTTCCTGTTGTGCATACCAAAAACAGATCCCATGAGATGTGATAAGGGGTGATTACCGAAGTCACTACTGACATACCTGCCAACCCAAAAGTTTCCCACATTTAAAAATGTAACATAAAACTTTTTGGTACAGATAGAACAAAAGTAAAAGACAGAAAATTATTTAGAGATTTGGCTGCATAAGTATGACATACCCAACCCTTAGTCTCTCATATCCTCCCTCCCGCTTGATTGGAATAGGTGCAGGATGGTTGAATGCAGGAAGAGCAAAACGAGATGCAATTACAGAGCAGTGTGCAGCATATTTACGGCTGCAAAGAGAGAACGGAAAGGACATTATAAACTGAATATATTATGGAGAATTTCATATTTTTTAATCGTTCATGCCTGCTGTGAACAGTATTATTCATACCTAATTTCCAGAGCAAGCATTGGGTCAAGTGGATATGCTATAGCATGGAAAGGCTGGACACTAGGAAGAACAGACATCTGAAAAACAGAAAGGATATCAATTGAAGGATATTCAAAAACACATGCTTGTATCATATATATTTTTAATAGAATAAAAGAAAAATAGAGTATTGATTGCTCCTAACATTAATCTGCCTCTTGATTATCCCTTCAACTTCCTTGAACATTTTCTCACGATCCTCCCAACAGCAGACACACTGCAACATGACAAAAGATTATAATGATGCCAAATGAAGTTACAAACTACACGAAAAAAATTAATACTACTACTGGCAATTGTTCATTTATCAGCAGAGCAAAGCATTTTCTAAAACCAGACAACAGAGAAATGACATTTAAATACATCACACACCAAAAGACAGGAGGATAACCATCTTAATTCCTTTTTGCCTTGTGGGAAAGGGCAGGGTTATATCACAAGGCAATGCTAAACATAAATGTAAATAACAATGAAAAAGGACACCAATGCATTATAGCATATTGTGCACTATTTAAATCATGACTTCAACCAACCATACTGAAAAGCATATTAAAATCCAAGATTATGATATAGTCCAATCAGGTTTAACATACAACAGCCAATACTTATTATTTCTTCCAACCACGTGAACCGAACAACTTCATCTATCTGAGGCTAATCAATGCAATGGTATGGATGAAGCATTGGGACAGAAAAAGATGATAAATTCATATAAGGCATAAGCAACAAGATCATATCAAAAGGCACTCCACCAAACTCGCTTTAAATAACAAACATTATAATAATTAATAGAGAAAACCTGAAGTGTATGTAGGAGATTGCAAGTTGCTTCAGGGAAGTCCGGACGAAGAATCAATGCCTGTTTATAGCTCTTCACAGCAGCCTCTACATGTCCACTGAAATAGGAGACATAATTTAGATTAGCTTACAGCTATGACCAACTATCTAAAGATGGCATTGCTGACACAAGTTACAGACAGGTGTTGCAAGGGCAACAGGAGGATAAGAAGTCTAGGCAACACAAGAAGTAACTTAAAACTAATGGTGCAACCAACAAGAGTTAAAATATAATAATTCTTAGAAGATGTAAATTCCACGGATAGCAGGATGCCCACTATTCAAATAATTAATATATATATATATATATATATATATAAAATAATAATTTATAAGCTTAAAAAAAGAAAAATAACCCAAAAATTCATGCATTAATCATTTGGTTGGACCATGGTTCTGCTGACTACCAAAGAACAAAACCACACAAGTAAAAAATGAAAAGAATAACAAAAATTTCTGTGCCAGCAATAAAGAAAATAAGGAAGAGAAAAAGGAAAATGAAGGAAATGAAAAGAAAAAATAAGAAAAGAAGGGAACAGAAAAAGGAAAGGAAAAAAGAAAAACTACAAACAGAACAAGAGACTCACTGGAGCAACAGCCAGCGGACCCGCTGGAGAAGAAGAGAGGAGGAGGAGGAGGGGGGCACACACACAAGGTCAACGAACAATAAGATAAAAAGATTTGAAAGTGGAAAGACAAAAACACCCTCATTAAATGGGGGTATTTTGAAATTTTGTAAACTGACCCAGACCCACTCTACCCCATCGATTCGCAGCCACTCCAGCCACAACATTGAAAGACCACACAACAGTATACTGTGGTGGGCCACTATTGACAACATAGATACTATGATGTGGGTTTTCACCACCATGAAGCTAAATTAAAAATTAGCATACCTATCTTTATAAGCAGAAGCCAAATTAGCATGGGCTTCAGCCATGGTGGGCCTGACAGCAATTGCACGTATGTAATCCTGGATAGCTTCACTAACTCGACCAATCTCCTTATATGTATTGCCTCTATTTACTAGCCCATCAGCTGCCAAGGGATCAATGCGGAGGACCTCATTGTAGCAGGATATGGCATCTACATAATTACCCTGCAATAATTTGTCAACAAAAGAATAAAATATTAGTAAAGATATACTTGTATCAACACTTTTTTGTAAAGCTTGTGATCATCACAGTTCCCCCGTTTTTATCAAGCCTACATAAACCTAACGCAAGTAAAGCATTAATAACTGACTCAGAAACACCATAAGCATGAGTTGTATTTCACATCAGACTTACCTGCTGCTTATAGATGATTGCAAGGTTGTTATAAGGAGCAGACAATCCAGTTGTTACATTCAGTGTAGCTTTATAATATGAAGCAGCAGCAGCAGCCATGTTCCTGCACCGCAGCAATTTTAAGCAAGAAAGCTCAATATTTTATCAGGTACGACAAAAATTACTACCATTAACATAAAGATACACGGGACCACATACCATTCCATGTATATATTTCCAAGATTGGTCAATGCTTGTGGGTGGTTAGGCTGTAATGTAAGGCATTGCTTCATCCCACAAAAAAATTACATTGAGTAAGGATTTTAATGGCATTAAAGCATAATGACTATAATTATATGTAATTAAGGCCACAAGATAAAAGATATAACATACATTATAGCACTGGATTGCTTCCTCTACTCTGCCAACATCTTTTAGAGCATTACCCTACAAGAAAATAAAATAAAATACAATATTATACAACTGCATACGAAAGTGCATATGAAGGTTTCTTTAACTAATCATAACACAAAAGAAGAGACCAACCAAGTTATTGTAAGCTTCCAAAAATCTAGGGTCACATGCAACAGCTTGTTTATAGTGAAGAATTGCCATGTCCAGTTGACCTTGCTCATAATATATACTGGCCAAATTACCTGTGCACCATTTGAAGTGATTAGTGCCATGGTTATACAAATGATTATTACTTCCTAAAGAATTGATTAATTATTCATAACAAGACTGTCCGCAGCAGCGGCACCAAGGAAACCTTTAGGACCAAGGCTAGAAACACGCAAAATACCATAACCAAACTTTTAAAAGAAAGAAAACAAAAATAGTCAGATCTTCATCAATATCTAAGATTCCAAAGTCTTGAGCTGATATTGTACAAAGAAAATAAATAAGCAGCAAAAAGAGAAAGAAATAAAACAACAAAACCCACCATAAGCCATGCCATAGTTTGGCCGTGTCTGAAGAGCATGTTGATAACATGCAATAGCTTCTTGAGGCATCCCTAGAGCCTGATAGGGGAAGAAAAATAAAACATTAAAAGTTTCCAACAACACAAATTTAAGTAGTAGTCCTATCCAACCAATCATGCATAACACCATACCTTGTACACATTCCCAAGGTTCAGATATGCATCAGGGAAGGAAGGTTTTAGTTTCACTGCTTCCTGAAATATTTAAAAATTAAAAAAAATAAGAGAACATATAATGACAGAATTGTCTGAGCAGCATCATAGACAATTATAAATATATCATGGCTTCGGGAGCATAAAGCAAACACCACAAATTTAAGGGAGACAAATGCATAGCGCATATGTATGATATAGCAAAACCTTCAGTAGTCCCTCTAACACAGCTAAGCATCATTTAATAATGAGAAATGAAACATCTTAAGCAAATTCAACAAAATTAACTAGAAAATCTGATGCACCCACTACTTTCTATCAAAAGTTTAAAATTTTCACTCAAGTAATGTAGAAAAGAGACATACCTTGTAATACTGAAGAGCCCTGTTGAAATCACCCGACTCCATGAATAGACCGGCAAGATTTGACCATGCAATAGCAAAGGTAGGTTGAATGCGCAATGCCTCAAGGTAACAACTGTATGCCTGCAAAAAATGTTAGATTCTGACTATTTGCAGTCTTGGAGATGGAAGTTACAACAAGAGCAACCATCATCTGAGCCCTGGCTTGAAGACAACAACTTGATATCTGTATCGAACTGTGGATAATCCACAGTTCCACGCACGAATTATTTAAATCAGTAACTTAGATGTAAAGAAAGATGTAGGGTACAAAATACTAAGCATTGAAGGAGCCCTCCAGGCTTCCCAGGCCAGCACACAGCCATTTTTATTATTTTTATCCGGCTATACAGAAAATGGAAGATGAGTATGACCATCATAATTCCCAACACTTGTCACTCACTCTAGGGAATCCAGTAGATATTCATCTCAAACTAGAAGCCACATTAGGGTAAAGAAACTAGAATGGCCCTGACAGAAGATGTGGTTACACCAAGATCTGAGTAAGTAGGTAGAAGCATTGGGGCAGAAAAGGTCTTAAAAAAGTCTTATATCCAACATAAAACGGCTAATCCAACAGGATGGAGTATCACTCATACATCAAGTAGAGCATTGTCTAAAAATGGGAAGCCCAATTTCTCTTTAGAGAAACTGTACTAGCTAACGAAGCAAGAAGAGGTACAACAAATCCAATTTCAGATATGGTCCACTGTGGCAGATACGTCATTAGGAAAAGACTAATCTCCCATGCGATAAGAAGTGAAGGTTCAAAAACCAATTATAGGTTGTAGAAAACCTCAAAAGTCAAAAGAATAACACATAAACAAGAAAATACATATCAAATGTAAGGGCTTACTTCTTGCACCAAGCCTTGAGCTTTCATTAGATTACCCAAGTTGCTATGAGCATCAACCTGTAGTACATAAGGAACAATCACATAAACTACATAACAAAATATAGAAAGTAAAAGATTACACACTTTATGCCTTCTTAATAACTACATAGCATGGGAAGCTATTGATCATCAAATAAAAAGCAAATAATACCATTAGAGGATTTATAGCAAGTGCTTGACGACAACACTGAGCTGCTTCAGTGAGTCTTCCTTTACGCATGTATGCGCTAGCTAGATTTGACCATGCATCAGCAAAATTGGGACGGAGCTACAATAGCAAATTCAAAAGGAGGGAAAAGGTTAAACAAACTAAATAATCAACAGAATCAGATCCATTTACTAGAATTGAAATTATACAAGATATGTTACCATAAATTTGATTTATAGTTGCTTGGTACAAATATTGGGTATTTTCTTTTGGAAACATGGGTACTGAACTAATACAAAATAATAATAATAATAAGACGTAAAAAAAAAAAAAAAAAAAGCTAAACCAAAGCAACGAATAAGCTCATAAAACATTAACAAAACAAACTACAGTTATTGGACGAGATTGCATACAGACCTCTATGGCAATCAAGTAGTAGCGAATTGCAAGGTCAATGTTTCCTTTTTCCTGCACAAAATAAAGCTCCATTAAATATGGCAAATGAATGAAATTTGCCTACTGCAAACAAAAAATAGTATAACAAGTTCCATCACAGTCATACTGGACTAACGTAAAAGAGGCACGCCGTATGTATTTTATTTAAAAATAAAAAATACTACATCACAACCTCTTCATAGAGTGGCATGTCCGTTACCAAAAGTGAGGTTAAACTGAATTAACGAATTGATAAGATACTGGCAAATATGTCCACATAGAAGTGAACTCGAAAGACGTGAAAGACGTTTACTCAAAAGACGTTTACCAAAAGTGGTATCAAACAGTATCGCCATTATTAATAGTTATAGTATAGATTATTATAGAATAGTATAGATCATTAATAGTTATAGTATAGAATAGATACAGAAGTATAGAGATTTATTAATACTAATAGTATAGATATAGAAAGATTAGCAGCGGTTGCTTACCTTCCATGCATTTGCCATATTCCCATAACACTCAGCAAAGTGTGGCTCAATTCTCAGAGCTTCTTCATTTTTTGCAACACACATGTCAAAATCATGCAACTGCCAGCAAATAGTACCATGTGTTAACAATGCAGTACAAAAGGAGCAAGAGATCATCGCCAAGGATTATAAGAAAATTATCCAACACATGAAAGACAAAGCCACAACAACAAAAGAAGAACAAACCTGATAATAAATTGCACCCAGGAGTAGTAAGTTGTCAGTACGGAGCGGATTTCTCTCATAGACAGTGTTGCTGTGCTCTAGGGCTTGCTTATAATTGCCAGTCTTGTACATTTGATGCGCAAGAGACAAGTGCACATCTTCATCAACTGCATCACCGAATTTTTTTTCAAATAATTAGAGCAAATTGTTTTATTCGATGTTCAGGATACTGAAAATTATTCCACCGTAAAACTTGTGACTTTTCTTCAAACGCTCTCACAATTTACCAACTAAAAAGACAAAAAGCTAATAAAATATGAAATAGGCTATTCCTGCTCACCAAAACAAGCCTCGATAAGATATAAAGGATTGAAAAATCAGTACAGAAGCTCCCTGTAAAAGATCCCCTATTAAACCCTAATTATGACATTGATGAAGCCAGAACAGAATCAAAACTAATTTCCAACACATTTGGCGCACAATAAGCATTAAACTCCAGAAGAATCAGCCTCCAGCTGAATTAGCAACATCAACAGCAACCAATAAACAACGCACTGAACCGAAAACACAAACCAACAAATAGTGCAAGGAAAAAATTAAAGTTGACACAAAATCAATAAACAACCGGATTTCTAGTGAGAAGTGATTAAAGGAAAAAACCTTCATTGGAATCGTGACCGCGTAATGGCAAAAGAGTGAGCGACGCGGGTTCCTGCTTGACGGAGAAGGGCTCAACACGATCCCCGGTGAACTGCGGCCGAGAAGTGTCGGCGGAGCCAGGGAGCTGCGGCTGGTGGTGGTAGTGATGGTGGCGGTGGTGGTGGTCGCCCTGTACGGAGATCATGGTTCCGGTGGAGGAACACGGCGAGAGAGATCAGAACCGAATCAGAGGCTGTCGAAGACGACGATCATGAAAGCGTGTGGGATCGGAATTGATCGCGCGAGATGAAGTGACGGAGAGAGAAGATTGCTCGAAAAATCCAAACCCTATGTGAGAAATTTCTCGAGTATTTCTTCTTCTTTCTCTCCTGTTTTGGGGCTTGTGTTTCTGTTAAAACTGGGAACGGTGACACGACGGAGGAGTATTTTATAGGTGATGAGGATCTTGGTTTGGGGAGATCTCAGCCGTTGATGTCAGACAGCGAAAAAAGGCCACCGTTCGGTAAAGGCAGATTTCATTATACACTGACACGTAAGTGCTGATATTTAATATTACGTGATGTGATTATTTTCTAATTTCTTCCTTTTTCGTTCCGACAAACCATGATGGATTTATTAACCTTTTTAATTTTTTTCCCTGCTTTCTTTTTGTTTTTTTAAATAGTAAGTAGAAAATCAAATAAAATAACTTAAAATAACTATTTATTTCATATATTTTATTTATTTTATCTTTTAATTTTAAAAATTAAATTTTAATTCTTACACTTATCTTTTTTAATTTTAATAATTTAAGATAAGTCTTTTAATTTTTATACTTGTAATTTTTTTAACCTTTTTATGCTATGTCGTTAATTTTTTTAATAATATTTTTTTTATATTGACATAATAAATATATTAATTTTATGTGTCTGATGTTAAATTTATTTTACTATAATTATTTTAAATTAGTTTGTCAACTCTTCACATCTCTTTTATGTTGAAACATCATTTTTTATTCTCACAAAATTTAAGATATCTACCATATCAATATAAATAATATTAAAAAAAATAATGATAAAAATTAAAAAATTAAAAATATAAGAATATATATATATATATATTAAATTATATGGAGTATAAAGGATTA